TCTGTCTTGAAGGATGGGCTGAATTTGTATAAGTGAACAAAAGTGAAGCAGTAGTCCAAATATAAAACTCAACTAAAAAGGCAATATAAAAGTAAAAAGAAGCCTCCCCTCTTTAGAGCATAAGTTCAAGCTGAGGAAGAGCAAGAAATAATGCACACAGATAAAGCAGAGAAATGTTACAGAGAGACATGCAAAGGTGTCTAGTTATCTACAATAGGGAAAGGGGGTGGCTTTATAAAGATGTGTTTTTCCAGGTCAGCAGGTGTGTGGTGGTTAAGGCACTAGACTCCCACATGGTTGACCGTGGCTCAAGTCTGGGACCAGGCAGCTTGAGGGTCATGCTGGGCACGTGTGCTTGCATGTCCAAAATCCCTGAAGGAGAATAAAAGATTGTGGTGTTGTCATCTCCAGAGGGGGGGTGATGTCTCACTTTCCCTCTCACTGTCTCTCTCTCTCTCTCTCCAGTGAGCATATAAGCCCTAAGGCAAAAATCTTAAAAAAAAAAAAAAACTGTGTTTCCTGCATTAATTACTTCACATATTCTTTGATTATGTTACTATCCAATTCTTCACCAGTTAACTGGGTTAACTACTGAAGAATTATTTACACATCTTATTTACTCATCATTATTTTTACCAGACCTAGTAGCATACAGCATAGCTCATAAGTGTCCAATAAATATTTGCTGAGTAAACAGGGAAGAATAAATTTAAAAATTATAAATCATACTCTTCAGTCATTTATGAATAGAACTACGTATATATGTTACAACACTAAGTAACCCAGATAAACTAAACACACCTCCTGAGTAGAGGGGAAGATACGGTATCTAACTCATGAAGGCATGAAATGGACAAACAACCTTCCAGCACAAGTGGGGACAGGGAAAGTGGGAGGCCAATGAGAACATCCATAGCCTCATCTTTCATATTAGAGTCAATCAGCACTATCTAAAAGTGAAATATGATGATAAAATCTCTTGAAATGATTTATAGTCATTTTTCTTAACATTAGAGGAATCTCTAATAACCTCTGGAGCAAAAATATAGTTATTTCAATTTCAGCAATATCTTCAGTCTCACTAGAGTTTCTTTTCCTTTTCCAAAACATTAGCACAATTTTAAAATGGCAACTACATTATGATTCCAGATTTATAAAATAATCCATTTCTATATATCTATCTTCCTATGTGTGTATGCATAGAAAGATATCTAGGATGATGACCAGCCCATTGGCACACTCAGGAGCAATTGAACTGCAGAGCTGGAAGCTACATGGCTGACTGCAGGTTCAGTCTCCAAGTCAGCCTGAAACACACTGGGGATAAATTCATGCAAGATGTTGACAAGCCAGAAGGTGGGGAAAAAGACTGCAATGTGATGAGACCCTGTCAAGGTTGCCTCTCTCTCTCTCTTTCATGAGTGCACAATGGTCTCTATCATTAACAAAAAATTTGTTTAATTTAAGGTATCAAGAATAACTTACCTCAACGTTAATTTTCATTTTAAGTTTGAAAAAAAATCACTTTACTTATTATATTTAATCCCTTCATTGTTTAATTTCTTTATAATAAAGATAAATTATTGTTTGAAAGACAAAAATAAACTTAAGATGACTTTCAGGATTAAGCAACTGAAGAGATGGCTGGGTCACAAAATAATTTGGAAGTGAAATATTGGTTTCATTTGTTTTAGTGGGAGAAGGCCTGGGAGATCCAAAAGGTCAATTTTAGACATGTTAAAATTGTGATTCCACAAAAATATATAAATTGAGAAGTCAGAAGGTAGACATATATGTGAATTTGGTAGCTCAGAAGAGACGTTTGTGCTAGAGATATAAATTAGGGCACTCATTGGCATACAAATCCTTTTTTTTTTTTTATTTAACTTTATTTATTTTATTTTAATTTGACCAGAGAGGAACAGAGTGAGAGAGAGAGATGGGGGAAAGTGAGAAAACAAGCCACCAGGACTGACACTTGAACTGTGGTCAGCCATGTGGGAGTCCAGCACCTCTAACCACCACACCACCTGCTGGCCCCCATACAGATCCAATTTAAAGCCATAGTCGTAAGTGGTGAGAACTGAGGCAGAGTATGCAGGAAAATGGTGGGCGTAGGCCCAGGACCAAGTCCTGAGTATTCTGACATTCAGATGTTGCTTAGAAAATGAAAAGAAGGAAAATTTGCACCTACAGCAGTGTGTGGTATCAGAGAAGCAAAGAGAAGAGAACTTTAAACATAAGAAAAAAAAATGGAATTAAGAGAGAAGAATGCACTAGGTCATTAACATGGAAGTTACAAGTGACAATGTGATGAGTGGGATACCTGGTTCCAAGTCACAAAGCCAAAGTTAAGTGGAAGTGAGCTGAGAAGTAAACAGAGGTGAGTCAGTGAGGACAGTTTGTTTTGCCATGGTGAGAAGCAGAGAAATAAGACTGAGGCTGCAGAAAGATGTGCTACTGAGGACAGTTTTTGCAAGTGCATGCTTTGTTTCATGATGAGACAGGTAAAGGCAAACCTTTATACTGATAGGAATGATCTAGCGTGTAAGGATAGGTTGAGAGGAAAAAAATAAGGGAGGGAACAGGAGGCCTAATCAAAGGAAAAATCTTCAATTTAACCACTTATACTATATATAAGATTTGAAAGATCTTGGCAAATCAAAAGCCAGACCTTTAAACAGAACGTGATGATGTCGATAAATAAAAAGACACATTTCTCAATGCCTCATGTCAGCCTCACCTAAGTGTTGTGGCAAGTAGTTTTTATCAAACATACTTTGATGCTTTTTCTAGAGTTTAGAGGCAGAGGGAAATACAAAGTAACTGGAACAAATAATTCTAAATGTAGAAGACAGACACATTAATGAAAAGAGCTCCTGAGAATGGTATAGTGAAGGTAAAATTAGAAACAAACAAAAACACTGAGGGTGATAAAGATACTGGTAAAAATCCAAAACATGCTATACCACAAGGTTTCTATATAATACAAAACTATGATCTGAACGGTCACAATGATACCTTGCTGACCAATAAACTCAAATTATTGTAGAAATAAAAATTAATTACCTAACTTCAAATGTATGAATTAACTTCAAAAAACAATAAAAAATAAATGTATTGCCCAAGAAAAGTTTGTTCAAATGCACATAAAAATACAAACTTTTCCTCAGAAAAGGATTTTTGTCATTTTCTCTGTCTGATTGCTGGTAATATAAGTATAACATACTATTTGGCATTATGTGGAAGACTACTGAGATAGAAAAAAAAAAGACAAAAGTAATAGTAATTTCATAGAAAAACAAAACCATTATAGTTCAAGTAGATAAAACCATGTGAAGTACTACTACCAGTACTATCACTACTCTGTTTTTTTAAGATCTTTGTTTTTTCTTTAATAATATATTTTCTTTTCTTTTATACATTCAATCACTATACATCACTTAACTTGTAAAGTTAATTTTCCAACATGAATACATTTCACCCCAGTCCAGTTAGGGATACTATACACATTCTCATCAACTGATAATGATCTATTTCTGTGTCCTATAAATGTCTTGTTCTCTATAGTGCTTGGTACATGCTAGGAACTGGTGTAAGCTTTTAATTTTCACATATAATTCTCCTAGTAATCCTATGAGAAAATAATATAATTATCCTCCAGAGTCTAGAGTCCATATTGCCAACTATCGCATTGCACTACTCTGTTATAGCCAAATGGGATGGTAAATTTCCTAGAAGTAGGATAGAATGGTTCTGTTTAGATATTATTAGAAAGCACACACTATGAAGAATTTCACTTCTTGGATTGCTTTTTATACAACTTAATAAAACCCTATTGTTAAATCTTTTTCCAAAAGAATAGCAGAGAAACTTATTCTATAAAAGAAAGAAAATATACAGGGGTGGGAGGGATGAAGAGAAGAAATTCATTCAGTATATAAACAGCAAGAAGCAAAAATCTGTGCTCTATAACTACAAAGCTCAGAAGCACACTTTGCTATGCAAAAAGAGATTCTTCTGAATGGATTTCTCCTAGTACCCTCCATCACTGCTTGCTATATGATATCTGATGCTATAAACTGCAAGTTAAAATTTAATGTGAAAACACATTTGGAGATAAAGGGCACACCATCCAAAGAACTATAATAGCTACAGCATTTTTATACCTTCTTTGAACTAGAAAGTCCAAAGATGAGTCTCAGCCTTTAATGAATAGTTTTAAAAAAATGTTAAAGTATAGAACTATAAAATATACTACCATCAGAGAATTCTAATTTTAGAAAAGTAATTGCTTTATTTCGTAGGTAGTGCATTATCATTGACCTCTTTCATGCCTGAAAAGTTACTTTGCAAGCAGACAGGGAAAAAGAATCACAAACCTATGAAAATACAAAATTTATTTAATTTAACTGTTTTTAAAAGTAGTAATTTGAAGGTGGGGAATAAAGTTATAGATCTATAGATAACCAAAAGAGTGAGAATTTCATGAGTCTTTGTAGCCCTACAAATTCCTCCCCCCCACCCCGCCCCATTTAAACATGCTAAATAAAATGTCAAGGAATGTGAAAAATTTATCCTTGGAAAAAGTAAAGTTAAAGAGTAATGAATGACAAACACCAAGGTGCAAATTTCAGGCATCAAGATAAATGACCCATTTCTAGACCTTCCAAAGCTATATAATAGCAAGAATCTAATCAACTATCTACATAAGAAAGTCCCAAGTGATAGTACTGACTAAACAAAATTATATAGTCCCCCAAATCTTCTAATAAATGAAGCAAAAGTAGAAGATGTAACACAAAACCTCAACTCACATAAAGATTATAATAGAAAAATCTAATTGCTGTAATTTACTTTGTCTGTGTTATAGAAAAATGAATTACCTTTAAACATGCCTTTTAAAATTAGCTTATTTTAAATAATTTTTAAAAGTATTTAAAACAAGTGCTTAATTTATAGATATAAAACGTAATATCTAAAATAATTTAGCACCTTACCTGAGACCAAAGATATGTGATTGTTCATAATTGAATAAAGAACGAATCTTGGCTTCAGAATTCAAAATTATAAGTCTATCAATAATATCCTGAAAAAGACAGATAGACATGCCCTTCATTAAAAGCATTAAAAGAAAGTTAAATCAACAAATAGTTATTTTTATTTGTAGTTCTCAAATTTGGCTTTACATTAGAATCACTTTGGAATTAGGATTTGTAAAATTTCCTGAAGTGAATCTAATGCTCAACCCAAATGGAGACTAATAATTTATACCCCACTCCAAAACTAGCAAGCAGCTTATACAGTCAGTGAAATACCAATAAACTTGCCAAAAAATGTAAACTTCTTCAAAAAACAATTACAAAATCTATAAATCTGAAGCATAATAGTGAGTGGATCTGAATATTTCTACCTAGTAACCACTTGAGATTTGTTAGAGATCTCTCTGATTCAGGTAATTTGGTGGTTTCCAATCCCAGTTGGACATGGAAATTATCTAGAACTTTAAAACATATAAATGGGTGCCCAGATTTTACTCAAGACCAATTATGTCACTATGCCTCGCGGTGGTTTCTGTCATTAATACTTCTCTAAAAGTTCCCCAGAATGGTCTAAAGTGTAGCCAGCTTTAAACCACTGGATTCAAATAAAGAAAATCTGATGAGTAGATGTCCTCTGCTCCCCCAAGTACTGGCAATTTTAGCCTACACTAAGTTTTGAGCACTCTTGAATAGATCTTTTTATAATATCCTGCTTTCCGCCTGTATCTTTTGTTTGGGCCTCAACATTTATTCATAGACAGATACTAGTCTCTCTCATTGCTCATTCTCCTGACCAAGAATCTTGCTACCCTCTAGTGAGTTTAAATTCAAGATATTGCTGTGGTCAACATGGCAATAAAATGAAACTTTTTCTCTAGAAAGTAGAATCACAAATTTATTGAAGTCTTTGTGGATGATGATACAAAGACCGTACCAGCAGATAAACTGGAGGCAAGGAAATGAGTTTGTAGGGGGGAGAAAATAGTGGATAACTCAGAATCACATATGAAAAACACTAATCAAACACAGTAAAAACCGTATTTTGTGTAAACTTACATGGTAAAAATTTATGCCCAGTACTTATGAATGAGTTTTCTCATCAATATCTTATATGGATCTGTGTAAATAATACTACCACAAGAGTTTAAATCAGCAAATATTAATAAATTGTCTAACAATGAAAAGACTTATTTAAATAACCCGTCATTATTGTCTGCTGCTGCGTTGAGGACTCCTTGTTTCAAACACTACAACAGAACCTGAGCTAAACAACTTATATTCCTACTCCAAGCTATCCAGTGACATTCTCATTAATTACCCCAACAGTCTCGCCTTCCCTCTAATCTCTCTACCCCTGCCCTCATTTAGCCACAGTGACAAAGCTACAGAGCACTCCTTTACTTGCCACCTGGATGCTACTTAAAGTAGTTTTTGCAATAGATACAATGGTAAAACCTGATGGTTGTGTAGTTCTTCAAACAACAGGAATTTTTACTGCTCAATAATTACTGTAATGTTTAATAAATAGCCTATTATCATTACTATTTTCACCACAATCTTCAGAGAAAAATCTAGAATTGATTACGTATCACTAACTTTCTCCTACCTGAGAAGGGCTGCCAATTAGTTTTATGCAGAGTACTTTCTGAAAGGATTATTACAGATTTTTCCTCTTTAGCAGGGTGTTAGTATAGATGACATATTTCACAGCTCTTTGAATACAATGCTAAGCTCAGGTTATTTGACAGCAGATGACATCCAGTAACCCTAAAGTTCTAATTCTGAATCTAAGTACTAGATACTGTAAGAATAAAAATGACAGACAATGACTGTATTACCAACAAGCTAATGGAAGAATAGATTACAGCAATCTATCAATGATAATGCATTTTCACAGAACAAATGTTACGGTAAATAATTTCTTCTTCAAAGAGGATTACGTTGATGTATTACCACTTAGGGAAGAAAAGGAAACTCCTGGGAAGCCTGCCTTATGGAAAGCTTTAGTTTTTAAGCACCATAACAAGTGTCAATAAGGGAATCAGCTTCCTAAATCAAGCAGCAGCTTCCTAGCAACAAGCCAGTGTACATAGGGCCTTGGGACTTGCAAAAGGTAGTTAGAAACTCCATGTCTTTCTAAAAGATACTATCCAACTTGAGAATTACGTTCAATAATCTAATAAACCAAACTGATATTAGCCCTTGAAAAACAAAGAGGAATATCCATCCTACATAAAAAGTACATGTTTGAGCATCTATTCTGCTTACAATTGTCCCAATAGCCATGCTTGTGTTTTCTGACCCCCTTTACTTAAAAAAACTGGCAAATGAAGGATGAGAAATAGGTCAATCATAATGCCCCAATATTCCTACACCTGCATTTCTAGGAGTAGCTTGTGACTAGTTAACTTATGAATATAAACTAAGCCAGTCAAGGTCTTTCCTTAAAATTTTTCAAAGTAGAGAAGTAAAAGAAAAGGCCACTTTCCTGTTTGGGGATGTGATGGGTTAATAATGGTCACACTCTCCTTCAAAAATAAGACTACCCTAATCCCCAGAACCTGTGAATTTCACCCTACTAGGAAAATGGTTTTTGCAGAGTTAAGTAAGAACCTTGCAGGTAATATCATCCTGGATTATCCAGGCAGTCCTAAAAGTAAAACAGCTGTCTATATTAGAGATAGAGGGAGATTTAAGACAGAGAAGAGAACATGTGACGATAGAGGCAAAAATTGGAGTTATGCAGCAGTAAGGCACATAGGCAAAGAACGCTTCATCTCTGGAGCCTTGGGAGAGAGAATGGTTCACTAATACTTTGATTTCAGATTTGTGGCCTCCAGAACTGTGAAAGCATACATTTCTGTTGCATTAAGCCACTGCTAACTTATGCCAGTCCTAGGAAGATAGTACAAAAGGAAGAGGTGAAAATATCAACACAGAGTAATGGTCCCAATGGTCCCTCCTATGGAGAATGGAGGACTAGGAAGTGCTCTTTATATAGAATACCTTCTAGAAAAGAAAAGAAAATGCTGGTAATAATTATAGCAAATATTTATATAACACTTATTTACAAGATAGTAATCTAAATGTTTTACATTTCATTTAATTCAATTTATTTAATACCCAAAACAACCACAAAACAGAGTATGTTGGGCATGTGGGTACATGCTTAGGATCCTGATGGGATGCAGAACTGAAGAAAAAGGGATTGTGTGCACTGCTGGAGGGTTCTCTCTCTGTCCCTCTCACTTACATGCATGCACATGCCATCTGACATAAAAAAAGTTTTGGTTAAATAATCTGTATAAATTTAGTGTACACAACTTGATGAGTCTGGAGATAAATACATACCTGTGAAATCATAACCAAAATCTACATCATAAAGTTATCCAGCATCTTACAAGTTTCCTCCCAACATCCTAATTATTATTTTTGTATGTACAATGAGAACACTTAGCATAAGACTTATGCCCTTAGCAAATTTTGAAGTACAGTACTGTTAACTATTGACACTATGTTGTACAATAGGTCTTTTGGATTTATTCATCTTGTAAAACTAAAACTTTGTACTCTGATTAACACATTTTTCTTCTCTTTCACCATCAACCCCTGGCAACCACCATTCCATTCTCTGCTTCTCCGAATATGACTAGCTTAGATTTATCATATAAGTGGTATTAGGTAGTAGTTCTCCTTCTTTGTCTGGCTTGCTTTATTTAACATATTGACTCATAAAATAATAGGAGAGAGGAGCCAGTAGGTGGCATGGTGGTTAAGGTGCTAGACTCCCACATGACCAACTGCAGTTTGAGTCTCAGACCTTGCTGTGTGCAGTCTTTCTCTCTCTCTCTCTCACGTGCACACATACTCTATAGCAAATTTTTTTAAAATTAAGTAACTTTTTATAAAAAAAGAATAACAGAAGGGAAAATAGAGGCCCAGCTTATCCAAGATCATACAACTGGTATGTAGAACCAGGTTCTCAACAAAACCAAAATGAAAAGCACTAATAGAAAAAGGGGGTGATGTAGGAATCAAAGAGAAGCACTAATAGAAAAAGGGGGTGATGTAGGAATCAAAGAGAAAAAGACACAAGTGGACATGACAGCATTCCCTGTCCTATTTCTAGATGTCCCATTTTTCCTGAAAGTGGGTTAAGTCAATATACTTCCTCTTTTACCTAAACTAAGTCAAACTACATTTTTTTCCACCTAGCATACATCATCTCTCTACACCACTATTGTAAGAGCTGAAAGTTAATTGGTAAAAACTGAAAAGCAATAAGAAGCAGCATGTGTTATAG